GTGCATCGGGATCTGTTACGACGATAAGTAAATTTTCATCTGATCAAATGTCCCTCTTTCGCTTGCATTAACCCTTTCTTTTCTGTAATCTGTGTCGCAAATGTAACTGAGAATTCTAAGCCAGGAAATTCAAATATCTACGTAGCATGACACCGGATGTTTAGGCGTGAGCAATTTAACAAGTTGGAGTATGAAAGAGAGTCTTTCGTGTATGCGCACTTCAAACGTCAACGTTAATGACGATTGAATATTTATTGAAATTGGATACTGGACGGTGATGAAAGAATGATGTCACGAGTATAGGTAACACTTAAACTTTAAATTTATTCTACAATTGTTGACTTAGAAAAACGCGTTAGACTGGTGATAATAATTTCTGTGTTGAACAGCTGATAGAATTTTAGAATCTGATCTTCCTTTGAAGGAATTTGTGCTTAAATAATAAATGCGGACATGTGAAGGTGGGAATGACGATGTCTGATTGGTGGTTTTAATTTGGTAGGGGAAGCCGTCAGGTACTGCAAGTACCTTCGAGTGGCATGTGTCGGATTTTCCCCATACCTTAACCGTAGCAGGTACTATTTTATTGGTTGCCCTGACTCGGCCAAGGTAAATGGAAATTAACACGGCCGAGGTAAAATCCTAATACAAAAGGGGCAATCGTCGCTATTGCATTCAAAAAAAGGTAAATTATGCACAATGGTTTTTAGTTATGATTAGTTTTACGCCTTAACACCGGATTTTCAAATTTTCACGGAGAATTCAAGATTCGCGCAATTAATTCTCAAAACGCTGCATCCTAGGTTCTCGTATCAAAGAAGCAATTGGAAAAATCGGCCGAAACAAGCGCTCCCGCTGTAATTTCCGCAACAACGCCGGAGATTAAGCTTCGCAGAGAGGCGTGAGCAGCATTGTCGGCAAAAAAGGACGAAAGTAACGGTGGAAGCGCGAAAAAGTTGCGCTAATTTGCCGTAATTACCGGGCGAAGTACGAGCGATCGGTCACGTAACTTCGCTTAATTGTAGAGCGGCGCTCATCGATCATAATTTGCTGATCTCGAGGCTGGATTTGTTGGCTCGTGTTCGCCGTTGAATTTCGCGGATTATTTTTCTGCCAACCCCGTTGCTCTCTCTCCTTCTCTCCCTTTCTCTCCCGCTAGCAAAGTTTTTTCCCCGAACTCGTTACCGACGATTTCTCTCTTCTCCCGTTTCGTGCTTACAACCTCGCGGATATCAGAGGGAAAACGTTCGACGTTTATGGCGTGTTACGGATCCACGAGACGGAGTGGAGATCGCGTGAGAAGCTGAAGCAGATGCAGCGTGATTGTACGGCAGGCTAATGGGAAACTGAGCAGGGCCGAATCGTCGAAGAGAAATGGATACGGAATGAAACGGAGGATGCTTGGAGAGTCGTAGTCTCGTTAGAGCGACGAGAACTTGTTACACTGAAATACAATTGCACGGGAGAACGGTGGATTTAGGGGTTTCGAAAGTGGAAGTTGGAAAAATGAAAATTTGAAGGATTCCATGTTAGAAAATGGAACGATTTCGGTCACAGGTACGCAAAGGATCGAAGTTGGTGATCGAAAAACACGGAGTGGAATGATCAAAGTGTAGAGTTCCAAGTGGAATCAGCGTGGATCGTGAAAAATTACAGATTAAAATTTGGTAACACTCGATGCTGGAGAATTTCAGCGAGAGATACACAAAGGATGAAAGATGGTAATCGAAAATGAAAGCTGCAGAGTGGATTGATCAAAGCGTAGAGCTTGCGGCGATAGATTTTGGATTAGAAGTGGATCGTGAAATTCAAGGTTTAATATTAGATAATTAACGAATTCGAGCGCAAGAATTTTGCGATTAACGTGCAGTGAAAATTGTGTTGGACTTTTAAAAATCGAGAGTCGATTCACGGTCTGTAATTTTTCAAAGGATCGTGTTACAAGGGGAAGAGAAGTTTTTGATACAGATTATTTGTCAGACGGATAGGAAATGTCAGGAGAGAGTTGGATTTTGGATCGCGGCCGCGATTGATCTACGGCAGGCGGTTTGTTTGCGCGTAAACGAATTTCAGAGATTATTTCCGGCCGGTGGATCGCGTCATAAAAAGCGACGAACTGTGATCTCTCCTCGTGTTATGTGTTTTTTTTTTTTTCGTCCGATCGATCGAGCACGGTAAACGGTCAAAGCGTTTATCGGCTGGCCGAACGGAATCGCTTACGCGGCGATACGTGCGACCGGGAGTAAATAATCGCGTTCCTCGCGAAAATTCGCCAAACTTTTCCGCGCACGAAACAAAAACCAATTCGAAGAGATCGGATATACTGTCACCAAATGGCGAATTAATGTCTGCCTGTTGAATTCTGTTCTGTTTTACTAGAGAACGCGAGAAACTCGCTTCTTCGATCGTTTCGAATACTTTCGAATCTTTACTGTTGTATATTTCCAAGGAATTAAGCGACAGTTTCAGCGTTCTGAATTGGTAATTGGGGAATTATCAGGCGAATTAACGAAGGATGAATTTTCTGAAATATGGAATCTGGGAAAATCTAGGATCTTAATCGCAGAAAATTGGAAATTTAGGTAAAGAATCACGTGGAGAGATGAAAAATCTTTGTATGCGAAGAACTAATTCTTCTCGAGACTCTCAAGTATTTTCCAATCGGAATTATTATATATACTTTGAGAAAATTGAGGATTAGTGAATTAACAAAGGACGAAATTTTCTGAAAACTGAAACTTTGAAAGATCCACTATCCTAATTGCGGAAAATCAGAAAATTAGATAAAAAATCACGTGGAGAGATGAAAAATCTATGAATGCAAAGAACTCACTTCCTCTTGAGTCTCTCAAGTATTTTTCAATCGCAGAAAATCGCAAATTTAAATAAAAAATCACGCGGAAAGAGGAAAAATCTTGAAAGCGAAGAACTCACTTCCTCTTGAGTCTCTCAAGTATTTTTCAATCGCAGAAAATCGCAAATTTAAATAAAAAATCACGCAGAAAGAGGAAAAATCTTGAAAGCGAGGAACTCATTTCCTCTCGAGTCTCTCAAATATTTTCCAATCGCAGAAAATCGGAAAATTGGATAAAAAATCACGCGGAAAGAGGAAAAATCTTGAAAGCGAGGAACTCATTTCCTCTCGAGTTTCTCAAGTATTTTCCAATCGCAGAAAATCGGAAAATTGGATAAAAAGTCATAAAGATGAAAAATATATGAAAACGAAGAACTGTCTTTTCGACTCTTTCAAATATTTTCCAATCGTTATTGTTACGCAAATTTAGAAAAAAATTGAGGATTAGTGAACTAACAAAGGACGAGGTTTTCTGAAAAATGGAACGTCGAAAGACCCGCCATCTCGATCGCAGAAAACAGCGGAAGCACGAGAAACCTATGAAAAGAAAAAGGGAAATGCTCACCTGACGGCGTGGCAGTGATCATGACGGAGACAATGGCGATGACGCCGAACGCCGATGCAGTCGGCCGCATTCTCCAGCCGGTCATATCGAGGATCCGCACGCTCTCAGCCTTCAGGGATCTGCTCCATCTTGTTCATCTTTGTTCTGCGCAGAAACGTGAAATTGCCGCGTTAAACTCTTACGATCGAAGAACGCGTTGCGTTTAAGGGGAGGTCTCGTAAAGCTCGTTCCCATCAACGTCCTGCAACTTTCTTAGTTTCGCAAACGAGATTTAAACAGTTCCGACCGACAGTTTCGACGATTAAGCTCGTACCTCTCCGCTATTCCCTTCGATGATCTCGATAAAATCTCACGTTTACGGGGCAATTCGCTGCTCTATATTTCACGTACGTTCACTCGTGGTACGTGGAACTTTGTTCAACACGAACGTCGTGTCGCTACTTGAGCAAAAGTTATGCTCGGCAGTCGTCACGTTATTCTTTCGATGGTTT